ATCCAATCATTATTTATTATTCCACCTTTATGGAATTTAAACATTTTTGGCAGATATACTGATGGTCAATTATTTACATGTCCCTCTGATTAAGGCTCCATCGATAATCATCTTTGTCTCTTTCTCTCTCTCACATACACACCCTTAAAAAATCTGAATTCAAAATTTTGCATTTATCAATTGTTTGTGTACTATTAATCTGCATTTTTGGGCTGTGTGGATAGCCCAGTTCATAGGCACTCATATAGATATATAGATATATAGATATTTGTTCTTCGTATTGGCTTTATACCTATGTTCTGAATTTCCCAAGAGATCACAAAATGACTTCTACTCCTCTTATGCCTGTTTTCAATTAAAAACAATTAGAATGTCCCAATTCTGTTACCTGGGAAATCAATATATAATTTATTACAGAAATAGGCTGTTTTTACACAAAACACTGAACTACAACTCAAACCACATTTTAGTTTTATATGAGCCACAAGCCAGTCCATGTGGTTATTTTATAGTTCATTTGTTGTGCAACTTCAGAAAATCAGATTGAGTAAACCTGAATTGACTATGGGTAAGTGTGTCATACAAACTAAACCATAGGATCTTTATTTGTTGGGATGTAATTAACTTAACATGATACTTTATCTGGGCCCTCCAGTATGCTGTGCAAGTCTACTAGTTAGTACTGGGGCAGGAGAAGGACAGTTCTATCCAAAACTGTACTGGGGTAAATGAGAACCAAATTAACCTCTCCTGGTCAGCTGTGTTTGTCAAAAACTCAGTCAACCTTTGGGCAGTGTCTAAGCCTCAACTCATTAATCCTTAAAGGAAAGATGTGGTACTATATATTGACTGAAAACACAAAGTGTCTCATTACAGAACTTACTGTCAAGGCCTGTCAACACATGTTGCTTCTCAGACTTTTGACTAAGATCAAGTAAACTATCTGTTCTTATCAATTTAATGTAAACCGCCCAGAGTTGTCTGCAGTGAGAAGGACGGTGACAAATTTGAAATATAAATATAAATAAATAAATAAAATACTTGATAAATGCTACATATTAAATTGATTTTTTGGAACTGGTGTGGAGTCTCTGAAGTGTGGCAGTATACAGATGTTCATTTAAATAAGTAGAAGCAATGATTTCCCATAATATTAACCAGCTGCAGCAAATTCACACTCATTGCTGCCTGCCTGGCCAGTGTGTCAGTGGTCACTGGCATAGTGGCATGCCTCTGCTTTCCCGGTCTAAGGATTCATAGGATATTGACAAAGTGGGTGGGGGCAGTGTCCCACCTTAAATGACAGCACAGCTCAACTGACACAATTGCGTAAGGAACTATGACCAAGTTAATGGCTGAATGAGTTAAGTGGGTGGAGTGAACCAGTCCTTAAAGTCATTTATAGATATATAACCCTGATAATTCCTTAACTGAATACTAGCACTGCAGTTTGACTGGCATATACAAGAATGGCCCCCAGCCAACTGAGCAACTGAAACTATTTTATTCAGTGACATGGTTACTATGGTTTGCATGCTCTGAAGATGATTTAGAAGGGTGCTTGGGAACGGACAGGAGCGCACATGCAGCACTTCTTTAAAGCAGCTGCATTTTTATTTTGGCCCCTGCACAAATCTAAAATAATGTGGCTGCTTTAATGAGCTGACTTAAACAACTCATACTTACTGCTATTTGCTGCAGTAGATACAGCTACTGTGGGGTAGAAATAACCCTATTGAGTTTCCACTGGCATTAGTGATTAATGTTAGTTCTTCTATTGTTCATTGCAGGGATGGATAACCTGTGGCCTGCAAATCTCATATAACCCCCAGCGTCTATTCTGTAGTCCCCAGATTGTTCCCACAGAAGTTCATGTGCCACTGAACTTTGGTGATACAATTTCAGACATTATTTTGCCTCACGGAGGTACACTTTGGTGTATTAAGCTGAAAATGCTTGGCCCCATACCCTCCCCCCCGATGATGTTGCTAGAGTGCCAGATGTGGCTGTTGTGCCTTTTGTGGCATGGTGATTATTGTCTCCCAGTATGAAAAATTTGTCATGGCTTATTTTATCACACCTAGCATTGTTTACAAACAACAACAACAATAATTTCAACTACTAGCAAAGTGCTAGTATTGATATTGCATTGGAGAACACATCTACCACCTCATGTTGATATGCCAAGTTGTAGTCATAGTTAAGGAATAGCCACTCCCTAAATATATTCACAAAGAGATATATTTTTAATATCACATAACCTTAGCATAATTATTATTTCCATACTAGTGTTGATTATTTATTACACCTTGTATTTCAATTAAATATAAGCAGGTCCTCCATGAAAACCCTAGAATACGCATCATCATTTTCTGGTGGAATTTACTATGCATTTTCACAATGCACAAGAAAATATAATTAGTCCCAAATTACAATTGCAAAAACATATTGTAAATATTATCTGCACATAAATGGCTTGTCATTCATAAGGACGTATTGTATATACATCTAAAGCATCAGAATTACACTTCACTCCTCTCTGTTTTTGAGAGATTTCATTATTTCAATGTTTAAGTCACATTTTTGCCAATACTTCACAGTTCCAGCTTCTCTCCATTAATATAATCAACACTGGTAGCTTGGATTTTCCTGAGATATTTCAGTCTCTGATTCCTGACCTCATACTTTTGAGCAAAACGTCAACCTTGAAATTATCCCATATCCAGAAAGTAGTAATGCCTGCAAACAACTTTGTATTTACTGTTGGTTTAAATCTACTCCTTGCAGTCAGAATGCTGGGCTGGGAGTCGCATTTGGTGGATTTCACACTGTCACATGCACACACCCTCAAAAAAATCTCCCTCCAAGGTACTTCATTAACTTCCCTTCTCCACCTCCAGTGCCCAAACGAAAGGTCAGCAGGGGTCATGGGTAGCCAATAAATGGTTTAGAACCCAATTATCCTTTCCCAGTTTCTTGTCTATCGGTGGGGGAAATGTATGCTTTAGATTAAAAAAAAAAAGGGGGGGGACAGGACAGAAGGACTGAGAAGGGACCCAGAAAGGTTTATGACCCCATTGCCTATAAAACCTTCTCTTCCTTCTGTTCAGGAACCATAAAAACACTGGCACACACAATTGCTTCATGAAAGAATGTCACCAGCAAAAATCATAATTGTCATCAAGAGAAAGGGGGATGAAGAAGAATGTTCAGGATTCCAGGAGATGAAACCTAAGGGTTCAGTGGATGAGCTCTAGCCAATCTGTGAGCCTGGGGCAAGGAGAATTTTTCCACATGGCTAATTAAAATCAGATTGGATTATTCTTGTCAGTGTTTGCATGCTGACTTTATTTTTTTTTGGTTGGGGGGGGAGAAGCAAGTTGTTAAGGGGAGAGAGATGGTTGCAAGGAGGAGCAGCAAACGTTTAACACAGAAAAAAGTCTCAGCGTGTCACCGATTTTATGGGCAGTAAAATTTCAAAGCCATCCAAATCTATTAATGCTAGAGAAAGAAATTTCTCAATGAGCTGTAGAATTGGCCAGGAGGGAAGTCCTTTTCCCTATTGCGATTCCTCACACTTATGCCCCCCACACCTTCTCATCCAACACCCCTTCCTTCCGTTCGGCCTTCACACACTCCAGACCATACGCTGTCTCTCCTTACGTGGCAGCTTACTGGCTTACTGAACTGAGCATTTGGAATCACAGGTTCTTCCATAGGACACAACACAGAATAGAATGCCAAGCTTATGGTTATGAAATGTGTGCAATTCACATGATTCTGTAAGCATTCCTAGTGTACAATTTCTTTCTCTCCAGTCTCGTAATGTAGGCATATTGGGGCAGAACCAGAGTCACTGTAAAATCTGCAAAATACTATTGTTCAAATTCTATTCTGTCGCAGGCATCAAATATTTTTATTACTTGAGTGTAGATATTCATCTTTTCCAAAAGGATGTATCAGTGCAATGGAAACATGACCTTAACTCATCTTTTATCTTAAGGTTCAGATTTCTGGATCCATTAATTTTAAACTCCTTTCCCATGGCTACTGTCTATATGACCAGGATAGAGGCTTCTTCTCATCAAATGATTCGATGTACATTCTGTCTCAAGATTAAAAACCTTATTTCTAAATCACTATACATTTTGTTCGTGAATCTTCTGGAGCTGCTTTACCATGATGGTCATTTTTCTCCTGCGTCAGAGCCAAACAGAGTTTTTTTTTTCAGCCATGCGGAGTGCTGACTTGATTTCAAGTCCAGCAGTTCAGCGTGAATCACCCCTCCTGAGGACTTAATGGCCTTCAGTTCTTTGATTTCCTTAACTTCCTCAGCAGTATTCTGGAGGAAGTTTGACACAGCAGCCAAGTCCAATGTGGATGACTGATCCACCATTTTAAATTTATTTGATCAGCATTAGGTCTTCTCTTTTTCTCTCACCATGCATAAATAGTACAAATATTATACTTGTACTAATCAGGTACTATATGCTCTCAGGATTAGTAAGGAACATTCTGGGAGAAATGAAAGTTTCAAAAGACTCCAAACTGAGGGCCCAATGAAATCAACAACTCTTTTGGCTCGCAACTTGCTTCACCCTGCCTTCACCACTCTCCCTCTGATTAGAACTATCGTTTACTAGGTATGGCTTGTTCTGTAGCAACTGAAGATCACAACAGGAAACCAAGAAGAAAGAAGATTCACGTTTCATTCTGGCTTCTGAATGACTGACTTCTGAACCCCTGCTGCATTTCTTGCCATGAAAGAGCCATTACAATGAAACAGGAAAAGATTCTGTCTTTCTAGAGTTGGGTAACTGAGGCATTTATTCCATTTAGTAGTACTGAAAAACAAACTCAATTACTTTGAGCCCCAGTTAACAAGTGAGTGATAACTGAAGACTGTGAGTGACATCCAATTTGATGATGCAAACCAGTCCTCCAGCCCTGAGCATTTGCCTCAGCACACAGACAGTCCATTGCAAAGTTTTTGCAGCATGCCACTGTGCCTCCTATGCCACCTGCACTGGAGGCTGTTTTGTGCCCATTTCCAGGGCAGTGTTTATCCCAGTCATTCAATAGAAGCATGTATTAAAAGCGTAATAAGGACATTTACTGGGCATTAGAAAGAATCTGATAGGTTCACTGGCATGAAGTATGCCTGTAAAAGTACAATATTTGACATACATAGAAGGGTATGATGTGGTGATGTACATGGGGAGCACTTAGAAATTAAAAAAAAAATTCCAAAAAATTTTCAGCATATGGCTTCTAATTTCCTCAGTGATGTAGCCAGATAGCTTTAGTTTCCAATCTCATTGCATGATTTTTGTTGTTGTTGGAACCAATGAATACCAAAACAACTTCATGATACAATTTTATGATCATTAAAGACCATTGGAAAACTAATTATATTACACAAGGTTAAATGCAGTTTAAGTTTCAAACATTTCATTGACTGTGCTAATATTTGGAGAATGTGACAGGAGCAGAAACAGATTCTGTTTTTAATTAAAATCTAGCAAATAATTTTATAACAATTATCTGCTGTTCCTTGGATAATAGAGATGGGATGTATTGCTCCTTTTAAGCAACTGGTGTTCAAAAAAAGTGCACTGATAGGCTGGATAGATTAGATTAGATTAGATTAGATTAGATTAGATTAGAACAGAACAGAACAGAACAGAACAGAACAGAACAGAACAGAACAGAACAGAACAGAACAGAACAGATGCAAAGAAGCATTCTTTTCTTAGAAGGAAACTCATAAAGAGTGATTTAATATCACATAGTCTTGGAGTTAGCAGTAATGGTCCTGAAGTGGCAAGCCAAACAAGTTATACAAGAACTAATATTTGCATGTTAAGAAAAATAATAAACATAATACTTGCTATTAGAATGTCCCAGTAAAGCTATGATTAGGATAGAATGATTTATTTTTCAACTAAGAATAAGAGATTTGGCAAAGTTAAAGTACAAATCAACCAACTAGCTAAGGATTGGATTAGATTTATTTTCTCCAGGATAGACAATATTGCAAACAAATTCTTCACCCCAAATAATCAACCCCCCATTTTAATTAAGCTTGAATTT